ATCTTTAATGTCCACCTGAACAGGCCGACAGGACTCAGTTTAACATCTCATCTGAAGGACGGCACCTCTGACAATGCAACACGCCTCAGCGCTGCTCTGGATCCTCAGCTTAGACCATGTGATCCCAAGTCCCGATGTGGAGGCTCAAACCCACAACCTTGACTCAGAGACGACTGACACAGCGTGGCGCAGTTGTCGTTACGTTGATGATGAGCTTTATCAGGTAACACCGAGCGAGGGGCGACACACCCAGGCACTAACCACTACATTACCCTCGGCCATATTAAACCTCATTTGCCACCGACTGACCCGGTTCCAGAAATGATCCAAATGATTTGTGCACGTGGTAGAGTTACACGGATTTGCTAATGGCTTCCTCCCCCACAAGTTGGGAGCCCCATTTCTGTAAAGCGTGGGAGGAAGGAAAGAGAATGAGGGAGGCAAGACTTCATGGATCTGGAAAAAGGTGAGTTTGGAGTGGGATTAGTTGGCAGCCCTTTCAAAGAGCCAGCACAGGCACGATGAGCAGAATGGCCTCCTCTGTACTGCGAAATTCTATGATTCTAATAGAAAGAATCTCAAGCACGATGAGATTGATTAGGTAACTGTGGGGAATGGTGAGGGCATCACTTACTTGATTGGATGGTTCCCTATCTTTATATTTACTACTTTCTAAGCAGAACTGGCACAGGGACGTATCATCCTCATTAGGGTAGGAGACTTCATTGTCATCGATGTAGTTGTACTGAACATTGGACTTCCCATAGGTTTGACAGGGACACTTGTCATGCTCCTCCTTGTTGATCCAACACTCATCCCTCCGTTTGCTACACTCCTCACCTCTCTTCTGCTCTTGGGAGGGGGCGCCGTTGGTATGTTGGCAGATGAGAGAGGAGCAGGTAGGATGCTTTGTGTTGGTACAACTCGAGCAGAATTCCCCAGAGGTTTCATTGGCCACTGACTGAGCGGTGGACTGGTTGGACATCCGGACTTTCACCCCTGGTTTGTCCAGCTTGGGCTCGGGGTAGTTCGGGAAGCGTAACCTGCCCTCGATGCTGACATTCCTGCCTGTGCCCCGGTAGTAACATATGTTGGTTGGCACACACAAAATCTCCGTCTCTTCTTTGTCTGCCAACGCGCACTTGGGGTGGTGCAACTTCCTCCTCACTTGCCTCCTCTCCACCCGGCCCTTCCCCACATTGGGCAGGTATGGCTCGAAGGAATCTGGGAAGAGGGCGGATTCAGGGATGAGGCCACATTTGCACCAAGGACCACACGTGGCCGAGGGCACGATCCAACCATGGTCAGCCATCGGGCAGGGGAAGGCCCGGGCCAGAGTAGCCTTGTAAATTTTCCCTTTCTTCATGTTTGGAAGCTCTTCATAGAATTTCGCCTGGCAGCTGTTGTTGATGGCTTGACTGTAGCAACCGGGCAGGGCAGTGAGCTGCGTTGCGTTGATGCGGTTGAAGGGGTATTCCAGGCCCTCATTACACGGCCCGTTCAATACCCGGTTACTTTGGCAGGGGCACTGCTCAGTCCTATTCTCTGAGCCTCCATGGAACATGGATTCATTCCCATTGTCACCAGGCTCTGCAAAACAGGGACAGCCCATCATTCAAACAGAGCTACTGCAGCTGAGGGAGATGAGAGAACAAGAGAACGAAAGAGAGAGAGTGAAAGAAAGAAAAGAGGAGAAAATATATATCATGTAAAGCTCTCCCCTTGGTTTGATGGGACAAGGCCCTATATCTAATGTGATTATTTCAGGAGATTGTTGGTAAGTGGGATGGAGGTACAACATGTGGGGGAACCAGGCTGCCAGGTCGGGTGGAGGGGGGCAGTTCCACACTGTCCTGCTGATGGGGTGATGGTGATGGGGGTGGGGGTAAAGAGATTCTGGAAGGAGATCAAATGGTCCCAACCTCTCACTATGTCTTTGGGTCATTTCACCCTCTGGTTTATTATGAAGTGAAATATTTTTCTGCGCCTTCAGGAAAGTCATCATCGCCAACCGGTTTGGCTGGTTCCTTGGGTGACATTGCGCTTGAAGCTCACCTGTGCGACTTATGCCTCACCTGTGTGTGTGTGTGTGTGTGTGTATGTCTGTCGGTCTGTCTCATCTGTCTGTGTGTGTGTGTGTGTGTGTCTATCTCACCTGTGTGTGTGAGTGTGTGTTGTGTGTGTCTGTCTGTCTGACCTGTGTGTGTGTGTCTCACCTGTGTGTGTGTGTGTCTGTCTGTCTGTCTGACCTGTGTGTGTGTGTCTGTCTGACCTGTGTGTGTGTGTGTGTGTGTCTGTCTGTCTGTCTCACCTGTGTGTGTGTCTGTCTGTCTGACCTGTGTGTGCGTGTGTGTCTGTCTTACCTGTGTGTGCGTGTGTGTGTGTCTGTGTGTGTATGTTTGTCTCACCTGTGGGTGTGGGTGTGTGTGTGTCTGTCTGACTGTCTCACCTGTGTGTGTGTCTGTCTGTCTGTCTCACCTGTGTGTGTGTGTCTGTCTCACCTGTGTGTGTGTGTCTCACCTGTGTTTGTTTGTTTGTGTGTGTGTGTATGTCTCACCTGTGTGTGTGTGTCTGTCTCACCTGCGTGTGTGTGTGTGCGTGTCTGTCTGTCTCACCTGTGTGTGTGTGTGTCTGCCTGTCTCACCTGTGTGTGTGTGTGTATATCAACCGGGGGGTGTGTGTATCACCTGTGTGTGTGTGTGTGTGTATCACCTGTGTGTGTGTGTGTGTGTATGTGTGTATCACCTGTGTGTGTGTATGTGTGTATCACCTGTGTGTGTGTGTGTATCACCTGTGTGTGTGTGCATCACCTGTGTGTGTGTGTATCACCTGTGTGTGTGTGTGTATCACCTGTGTGTGTATCACCTGTGTGTGTGTGTATCATATGTGTGTGTGTGTGTGTGTGTGTATCACCTGTGTGTGTGTGTGTATCACCTGTGTGTGTGTGTATCACCTGTGTGTGTGTGTGTATCACCTGTGTGTGTATCACCTGTGTGTGTGTGTGTGTGTATCATATGTGTGTGTGTGTGTATCACCTGTGTGTGTGGGGGAGGGGGGGGCTGTGGCTGTGTATGTGTGTGGGTGTGTGTGGGGGTGTGGGGGGGTGTGGGGCTATGGCTGTGTGTGGGTGTGTGTGGGGGTGTATGGGGGTGTGGGGGGGGGGGGTGGGGGTTGTGGGCTGTGGGCTGTGTGTGGGTGGTGTGTGGGGCTGTGCCTGTGTGTGGGTGCGTGGCTGTGGGGGGTGTGGGTGTGTGTGTGGGTGTGGTGGGGTTGTGGGGCTGTGTGTGGGGGTGTGTGTGGGTGTGTGTGAGGGTGTGTGGCTGTGGGGGGGGGGTCTGACCTGTACGTTTCTGCATTGCTCCCGTGGCCGCCGCTCTGTGCGCTGTGGTCGCGGACCCACATGTGCTCTCTGCAAAGGATCGGGAAACGTAGCGGCGGAGCGGGAACCGCCCAATGGCTTATGTGAAGCTCAGATAATAAACTGAGCCGCGCGGCCCCGTCCGGTCAGAGCCATCACCTCACCGCCACGTCACAAGGTGCCGCCACTGAGCCACAACCAGAGCCCTCAACACAGCTCAGCTCAGCCCCGGGACCGGGACCGGGACCCCCCGACCCCCCCACAGCCTGGAGACAGACAGTCACCACTGCACACTCTCTCCCCCCTCAATCCATCTCCTCCAATCCTCCAACCGCCCTCAACCCATCTCCTCCAATCCTCCAACCGCCCTCAACCCATCTCCTCCAACCGCCCTCAACCCATCTCCTCCAATCCTCCAACCGCCCTCAACCCATCTCCTCCAACCGCCCTCAACCCATCTCTCCAATCCTCCAACCGCCCTCAACCCATCTCCTCCAACCGCCCTCAACCCATCTCCTCCAACCGCCCTCAACCCATCTCCTCCAACCGCCCTCAACCCATCTCCTCCAACCGCCCTCAACCCATCTCCTCCAATCCTCCAACCGCCCTCAACCCATCTCCTCCAACCGCCCTCAACCCATCTCCTCCAACCGCCCTCAACCCATCTCCTCCAACAGCCCTCAACCCATCTCCTCCAATCCTCCAACCGCCCTCAACCCATCTCCTCCAATCCTCCAACCGCCCTCAACCCATCTCCTCCAATCCTCCAACCGCCCTCAACCCATCTCCTCCAACCGCCCTCAACCCATCTCCTCCAATCCTCCAACCGCCCTCAACCCATCTCCTCCAACCGCCCTCAACCCATCTCCTCCAATCCTCCAACCGCCCTCAACCCATCTCCTCCAACCGCCCTCAACCCATCTCCTCCAATCCTCCAACCGCCCTCAACCCATCTCCTCCAATCCTCCAACCGCCCTCACCCATCTCCCCAATCCTCCAACCGCCCTCAACCCATCTCCTCCAACCGCCCTCAACCCATCTCCCCCAATCCTCCATCCCCCCTCAACCCATCTCCTCCAATCCTCCATCCCCCCTCAACCCATCTCCTCCAATCCTCCAACCACCCTCAACCCATCTCCTCCAATCCTCCAACTGCCCTCAACCCATCTCCTCCAATCCTCCAACCCCCCTCAACCCATCTCCACCAATCCCCCTCAACCCAAACTTTTCAACCTCAACTCCAAGCAACCCCCCCCCCCTCCAGCCAATTCCTCAAACTCAACTCTTCCCCCTCCAACGAAACTCCTTCAACCTCAACCCAATTCCTCCAATTCAATCTCAACTCCTCCACCATTACAACCTCACCTCAATCCCCCCCCCCACCCATGCGCCCCAACCTTCCAGCCTCTTTCCAATCCTCTCCAGACCAACCTATTCCTCTATATGGAGCTGTGATTTTAAATTATGTATTTTTACTATAACCCTCCTATATTTTTCTATTGAGTTTTCGCTTGATGGCCAGGGTTCAGTTTCACGGGGGGGGTGGGGGGGGGGTGGGGGGGGTGGGGGGAAGGTGACCGAAAGCATGGTTGAAATGATGATCTTATGACGGGGTTGGGAAGTGGGTCGCGAGGGGGGTATGATGATTGATGGTTCTGCACTAAATGGTAGCTGCCGGATACCAACAGATATCTGCAGTGGGTAATGGAAATCTGGAACTCCCTCCCTCCCGCAAAAGGCTGTGCGTGCTGGATCCACTCACATTGTCAAAACTGAGGTGGATAGACTGTGGATAAGTCAGGGTATCAAGCAAGCTGCCCCAGGACGACTTGCAGGGAATCCAGAAAATCTACGGTTTGTTCTTCCTCCCCCCACCCCCACTACCTTGAGGTTACAGTTGGGCCTTCAATCTCAGTTTTTTGTGGCTACCCACAGTCCCTTGGCCTCGCCCCCTCTCTTGCCTCCTTCAAGGCCTGTCTCAAAACCCTCCTCTTCAACTGCATCTTTGGTCACCCTCTTACCCCCACCCTCCCTGCTCTCCACTCCCACCTGATCCCAACCCCTGGCTCGGGTCCAAATCCCTGACTGTCCAGCCTCTTGGGACGTCCTCTCGATGGAGCGAATGTAAATTATGCCTCTGTGGTTTACATTGCTGTAGTTTTCCCCCAAACCCCGCTCTCTCTGTGTTCCCTGGTTAGCACGGGATGTGGTGGTGGTGGAGGGGGTGGTGGTAACCCACTGTTTGTAGACGTATTAGAGATGTCCTTGATGCGGGATCCATTGTATCTGAATGTGTTGCCGCTCCATTGTGCTCATTGTAGACCGTGCATACCTGACCTGCCTGTGTTGTGTGACTGCTCAGGACCCCCTGCTCAGACCCTGGAGCCCACCAGACCCCTGCCCACCATCGCCACAAGAAGGATACACTCCACCTCGGAGAGAAAGCACGACCGGCAGTCCCGGCCCCCGCGGCCCCCCTCTGGGGAGAAGCCCTCCTCCCCCGGCTCCAAACCCAACATCTGTGATGGAAATTTCAACACCGTGGCCTTGTTCCGGGGAGAGATGTTTGTTTTCAAGGTGAGAGCTTCATGTTCACAGTGGGTCATGTGGAGGGGGGGCTAATGGGAGTCAACGGGAAGAGGTTTGATCTGTTAGGCCCGTGTCCATTAGAACTGTGTACAGTGCGAGTGAATGGGCGGGGGTTGGGTCTGTTGAGCTCCTGCCTTGTGTCTCTCAATGGAGAGGGTGGTTTATGTGGTAACTCGTGTGGGTGTGCGTGTTGGCGTGCAGGTGGGCGTGCGTGCGGGCGTGGTGTGTGTGCCTGTCAGTGGGCGGGTGTGTGTGTGGGTGTCTGTCTCTCACTAACCCAGCCCGTTGTCCTGGCAGGACCGCTGGTTCTGGCGACTGCGGAATAACCGTGTGCAGGAGGGGTACCCGATGCAGATCGAGCATTTCTGGAAAGGGCTTCCCACCCGCATTGACGC